GACTTAATGCGAAAGAAAAAAATGTACTAGGGAAACTAATGGGGCTAAAGGCCAATAAATCCACTGGACCTGATCGGTTGTATCCTAGGATCCTAAAGGAAATAGCTACAGAGATAGTGGATGCACTGGTAGCAAACTTACAACACTCAAAGGACTGAAAAAACCATCATTGTAACACCCTTATTCAAAATATGAGCCAAAAAACAGGTAACTATAAGCCAGTTAGTTAACATCTGTCATTGGGAAATTGTTAGAATCTATTATAAAGGATAATACTAGCAGAGCATTTAGAACTACATAACATAATAATGCAGAGTCACAGTCATGACCCATGAAGGGAAATCATGGCTGATAGAAGCATTTTTTTGAGGATGTAACAAGAAGGATAGATAAAGGATTTCCAGTAGATGTAATATATTTGGATTTCCAAAAGGTGTTCAATTAGGTACTCCACCGAAGGCTACTTGCTAAGATAAGAGCCCATGGCATTGTGGGTGGTATATTGGCATGGTAGAGGAGTAGTTAACTAATAGAAGACAGAGCTGGGATAAGGGGCCCATTTTCAGAATGGCAACCTGTAACTAGTGGGGTTGCCACATGGATCAGTGCTGCCTCCACAATTATTTATAATATGTATTAATGACTTGTATTAAGGAAATGAATATATGATTGCCCAGCTTGTGGCTGATACAAAAATTGGAGGTCAGCTGGTGAGGATGGCACAAAAAGTCTAAAAAGAGATATAGGCAGGTTAAGAGAGTAGGCAAAATCTTGGCAGATGGCATATAATTTGTGAAAATGTGAGGTTATGCACTTTGCCAGGAAGAATAGAAGAGCTGAATATTATTTAAATAGAAAATGACTGCAAAAGGCTGGAGCACAGAGGTATTTGGAGGTCTTTGTGCACAGCCATAAAAATCTTGCATCCAAACTCAGCATGTAACAGGGAAGGCAAATTAAATGTTGATCTTTATTCCCAAGGGAATGGAGTATAAAAGTCAGGAGGTTTTGTTAAAACTATACAAGGCACTAATCAGACCACAGTTGGAATACTGTGAACAGTTTTGGTCCCATTATCTACGGAAAAGTAGACTAACATTGAAGGCAGTCCAGAGAAGGTTCACTAGGTTACTTCCAGGTATGAAAGGATTTTCACCCGTTTAAGACAGAGATGAGGAGGAATTTCTACTCTGAGGGGAGTGAGTCCATGGAATTCATTACCACAGAGGGCTATCAAAGCTGAGATACTAAGTATATTCAAGGCTGAGATTGGCAGATTCTTAATCAGTAAGGGAATCAAGGGTTATGGGCAAATGGCAGGAAATTGGATTTTAGAATGATCAGATCAACCATGGTTTCCTTGAATGACAGAGCAGTCTCAATGGGCTGAATGGCCTACTTCCGCTCCTATGTGTTATGGTCTTATCTGTGAAAAGTTAATTGAAGCCCACAGTCATCATTCTCAGGTTTGCCCTGCAAGCCTGCTCCATGATGCCCATAGTAAGTCCTTCAGTTAACAATGTTCCCCACTTGGACTCCTCCCTAACCAGCATGTACACCATGATAAGATCCATTCTGTGTGGCCCCAGAGGACTCCTTGTGATCAAACGTTCAGGCACAGAGACAGTGAGCATTGGCTGGGATCCTTAAAGCATGTCAGTCCACCTCCCCATTCACAGAGAGGTTGCAGCAGAACCATTCTGATCTTGCCTTGGCATGATAGAGCTGCCAGCAAACCCTATTGGCCCCATCCCCCTTTATCTCCACCCTTCTCCTTGTCATGGCTATGTCCCTTGTGACAGTTGGCCTGTACCAATGGGCCATCTTACAGATTTACTGCTGCATCCATACCACCAAAATCATGAGATGGCAATCAGCTTACAATATACTGTGAGGGCTCTTGTGGTGCAGTGGTAGTCTCCCTACCCCTAAGCCAGGAGACCCAGGTTCAAGTCCCAGCTGCTCCAAAGGTTTTAATAACAGCTCTAAACAGGTTGATTAGAAAATGCCAACAATGCACTGTGGCTCCATGATTTCATGGGATCTCTTTTAACATGGAGCCAAGGGTTCCAAGGATATGTTGCATATTTGTGAATTGAACTCAGCTGAGCAGGATTCTTCATCCACTAGGTTCGAGATTCATTTGATGTCCATTCAGTTGGCTACAAAACTTAACCTTTAACTCTACCCCAAAAAATCCTTCTCCTATTTTTGTAGGTGTAGCCTTTTGAAATCAGTGATTTTCGACAAGTACTTCAAATTACAGAGATTTGTCTTTGTCATTAGAATGAATATGTTCCACTCTTCTCTTGTCACCCACCAAGGTTCTCTCATTCTTTATCTCCTTGACTGCCTTATAATTCCTGTTGCCCGTCATCCTGGAACCTTGCCCTGATTCTGCCAATCTCATCAATTTATCAATTTCCCTAAAGTCATAACAATCCAGGTCCTAATGCCCCTGCTCGCCCTTTATCCTTCCATCATTTAAGGCCATCTGTACCATCAAAATCCACGATTGCCCCAGCTCCTCTTAAGACCACACTTTCCCCAAAATTGACCTATTAATTTCCACCTGGCCAGACCCAACTCCCCACATAACTGTGAATGTACCATCTGCTACCCAATACTGCCAGACACATCCCCCGCACCCCCCTTGCCCCTAACCCCTCCCACCAGGGGCTATGCCCTGTACAACCACCTCCCTAAAACTCTCCCTTTCTAGCCATGGGCCCAAATGCCCCAGGACAGGTCAGAAACTGCGATTAGGTCCACACTTCCACCCCTGGAAAGACAGCTCCCCATCCAACAACAGCCATCGATCCACCATCTCCTTTGCAATTTGAGATTTGATATGACCCTCAGCCAAAGACAGCCTCCTCCCCTTCGTTGTTTGGGCTTTACTCTGGCATAGACGCAACTAGTCTCCTCTCCTTTTGATGCTATGACTGTACTTGGAGACCTTGCAGCTTAACCCAACATAGCCATCATTTGAAGCCATACAAGGATGAAGCAGCAAGTACTTACCCTGTAGTCTAGGAAGAAGTGAAAGGTGACTGATTATATTTGTGCAGGTATTTGAAGGAATGGCTTTTTAAACAGGGTAACAGTTAATTGAGAAGGGCTACTTAAGTCCAGTGAGTTGTACTTTTAATAAAATGCTAATGCATGCAGATAAGCTTCTTGACACCTGCACAGTCAACCCTCCATTTGAGGTCGAAGAATTTAACTGCACAACTTGATCCCACCGGTGAGAATCTAACTGTTTGAAACTTACTCATTTAAGTTCACCTGCCTGCCATTCCCCATACCTCCTCTGTGACTTGCAAGATTCCACCCTAAGTATTTCTTTGCCAACTGTAAGGTTCCCAATGTCAGCCAAAGAACAGGCAACTTAGCTGGGAATCACAATGTTTACGACAAACAGTTGGACAGGCTTAAGTGAGAGGCATTTTCCAGACTAAGATATATCATTCCAGTTCAGCTGACTGGTTCCAAAGTTCAGAAAATACTATACATTACACATGCAAACGCCACTTAATAGCTTTCAATGTCAAAAACCTACACATATCCAGTTACCTCCCTAATTTACTTTTTAGGCAATCGAATAATTGCCACTGAGAGAAGAAGCATAACCTAAACTGTCTGTTCTCCTTCTCTCTGAGCATCAGTTCATGCCTCATTGTCATACAGTGTGATCTACTTCAAATAGATTCAATTTACAGTCTTTAATGAGGTTGTTGCCTTGCTCGCTGAGCTGGCTGGTTATCGTACAGACGTTTTGTCACTAAGCTCGGTAGCATCATCAATGCAGCCTCCGATGAAGCGATGTTGTTCTACTCCACTTGGTATTTATATGATCCGGTCTGTTAAGTTGGGTTGTGTCATTTCCAAGACAACAAGGTGCAGGGCTGGATGAACACAGCAGGTCAAGCAGCATCATAGGAGCAGAAAGGCTGACGTTTCAGGCCTAGACCCTTCATCAGAAAAGGGGGAGGGGAAGGGGGTTCTGAAATAAATAGGGAGAGAGTGGGAGGCGGATAGAAGATGGATAGAGGAGAGGATAGGTAGAGAGGAAACAAACAGGTCAAAGAGGCGGGGATGGAGCCAGTAAAGGTGAGTGTAGGTGGGGAGTTAGGGAGGGGAT